CCAGGTTCAAGCAATTCTCCTGCCTCAGCTTCCCAGGTAACTGGGATTACAGGACCGTACCACCATGCCCAGTTGATTTTTTTGTATTTAGTAGAGATGGGGTTTCACCATGTTGGTCAGCATGCAGTTTTAAAAATAAACAGTAAGATTCTATTTTTAATAATAAATTTACTAGAAAATAGATGCTTTCACATAATATTCTATGCTTGATATAATATGAGCTTTACTTAATATAGTACTAGCCAACAGACTATAATTGTTTACTCACTCTTCCCCTATACTTCCTACCTAGAACTTAGTATTTCCTCTACTCAATGAATCTAAGCCTTTACTTTAAAATGTCCCAGGATGCCACAGACCATTTCAAAAATATTCCCCAAGAATGTCATTAATTCAGAGAAACTTTTAAAAATAAATATAAATGCATTTGATATTAGAGGATCCCAGAGCTTTTTAGAACCAAGAGTAATAAGTAAGCAGGGAAATAGAAAAATTAACTACAAGTGAAATAAAACAAACTCAAGTTTTGTTTGAATTTACAAAAATGTATGCCTAAACTAGAATAGAGACTCTTCTTACTCTTATTAACTAAAATAAAAAATTTTACTTTCTTATACCTTAAAATTTTATGACAGGGATGGTTGTAAATAATATGGTTGTAAATAGTAAAGAACCAATGGATAAAAGAAATTTTCAATTAATTCACTCTGTAAATACTTATTAAAGATTGATATCGTGTCAGACTCTAGAGACATAAATGATGAATGTAGCTCCCACAGGGACTCACAATCTAATCATGGAGACTGTGTAATAAGGAAATATTTTTAATGAACAAGTTCAAGAGATGGTAAAGGAGAGTGGCAAACTCAGATGGAAGAAGTGGAGGGTCAGAGAAGAATTCTCAGAAAAGAGATTCATTTGAATTGAATCTTGAAGAAAAATGATATTTTTCCAAGTGGAAAACACAGGAAAGTTCAAAGGCAGAGGTGGGATGAAACAGCATGACATGGAGGAGACTGGGGAGATTTTAGCAGGATGGAGGGTTAGGACACTAGAAAATACTAGAGAAGCTCATCACATCATGGAGCCAAATCAT